AGAGGTGTCTCTCTCATATATATATGTCTGTATGTTTTCTTGCAGAAGTCAGAAGTGACTTCCTGACTTCTCCGAGCTCAGGCACGTCCGGTTGTCGCCCATTCCGCGGCGGCCGCCGAGCCTCGGGGCTCGTCCCGAGCCCGGACCCGGGCCTTCCCGGCTTTAAGCGCAGAAAAAGACGTGCAGGAACAAAAAGGAAAAATAATGGTAAGTACATTAAGTAAAAATGCATATATATATATATATATATTGGCCTGGGCCTGCGCCCTTGTCCCCTGCATTCTTGACGCCTGTGCTGCAGATGTTCCTTCCAAACCGTCGGGCGGCTTCCAAGTTGCGCGTCTGGCGCCGGCGGAATGCAAGCCTCAACAGGCAGGGATGAGGAGACATGAGGAGGTGCCAGTGGATGTTCTTCCTTAGAGGCTAATCCAGCTTGCGGCGTTGACGGTGAGCGATGCGTTGCGGCTTTATCGGGCTGCTCTCCAACCTGGAGGACCCAGGCGGGAAGCTCTCAGACATTTCGTCAGTTGAAGCCCGGCACTTTTCTTTGCGAAGGTTCACGGGTGTTTTGGAGCCAAGCCAAAGAGGCAAGACAGACCAGGCCACATGCCGTGCTGCGGAACAATGCTCGGCAGTTCGCGCGCGCTTCTTCTCTTTGGATCTGCGCAGGTGCAAGTGGCAGTCCTTCCGAGTGGTGCGGCCAAGCCGACTTTGGTTTGAGTTGTTTCCAGTCTTGTTCGTGGAAGGTGACAAGACTGCGAGTGCCAAGTCCGTTAGCCAGGCTTCGGAACGCAGCGCGTAAGTGATTTTATGTTTGTGGTAGGACCTAACCTAAGTGGGGTCCTGAACAGGCCGCGAGTTCTCCAGACAAGTGGAGGACCAGTCATAGCATGTCATAACAGCTGCAACTAAGTGCCCGTGGCACAGGAGCTGGCTAACACCGGCTCCGGCCTTATCTCGTGGGGTCATGGTGGCACAGGCCGCATCGTGAGCTTGTCAGGACGAGCTCTGCGGCGCCAGATGCCCTCTCTGTAGCCCCTCAGCACGGGAATAAGGTAGCTGGCCGAGCCTCACGGCTTGCGGCTTCAGGGATTTGGGATCGGCGCTCACAAACCGGTTTGGGAGGGCAGGGCAGTGCTTTTGACAAAGGTTGCACGACTCCACTGCCACGAATGGCCGATTTGTGGCGGAGCACCCGATTCGGACTGTGCCCCGAGTGCACTCACATGGAGAACAGTCTCTCGGATCCGTTCCATTTTCGATGGCATGTTGGCATTGGGCCTTCTCTTGGGTTTTCCACCGGTGTCCTTCAGCTGCTGAGCCTCGATCGACCTTTCACTCGAGCATGCACGGTCTGCCTGGTTTTCTGCATGTGATGCTGAATCGTGACAACCAACACTGCTCTGCAGGTGAACTTTCAGACAATTCACGCAGGTCGTATGCAAGATGACGTTCTCATCCTCTGCATGCAGGTGAGAATGGTTAGATGCAGCGAAAGTTTCAACAGCTTGCAGGTGAGAATGGTGAGATGCAGCAAATGCTTCAGATGTTTGGGTTCTGCAAACTCGCCGTACACCGTCAGTCGGATTGCACGTGAAGGTTCAAACGGTCTGCCATACTCGAATGCTCCATCGCAGCGTTTTCATGCAGTGTGTCGGGCATTTCTCCTGCTGGTGTCACGTGATGAAAGGCTGTTGACAGCCGTGAGTTACAACAGGTATTGCAACGTGCCACAGCTTGCTATCGCGCTGTGGCATGGCTTGCACAGAGGAAGCTTCGTGAGACCATCTAGCTGATGGGTTTTTGGTTTTAGGGTTTAGGAAGTTTAGGGTTTAGGGGGTCGTTTGTGGCTTGGGCAGATGTTTGCTTTCCCTGGCTGCAGTCGTAAGGATGCTGCTGCTAAGACAGTTGCAGAGCTCCGACACCTGGGGGTTGGCGACGTCTCTTCACGTCTGTGCTCGGGCTGCACAAGAAATAACGACACGGTAGTCTCAGAAATAGAGGGCCCTAACATGTAGCCTGGAAGGCAGAATCCCTATCATAAGGACACCTGAATAAGGTGCAATTATGCTAACAAGCCGCAAGCCCCCCCCCCTCTATGTTGCGATGGCGGAAGGTGCTTTGTCCGCGCACGGCCTGGGGCTTCTGTGGATCCTTCTGCGATGGGTGCAGAGATTTGGCCGCACCTGGGAGCACGGGATACCCCGCTCTAGAAGCATTCGGATACAGTTTAATGGTGACGCTTGTCATGAATGGCAGCCACAATCAGCCACAGCATAGCCGGCATAGCCCGAACCTGCGGGACTGGAGATTTTGGACAGCCAAAGTCTTGTCGAAGCCTTCAGGTGGCAATTTACACCTCCCGTCGTTTCCGTTTGGTGATATTTTTGTTTGTCGCATTGTGGTGCTTGTGCATTCATCTTGAAGCCTTCTCTGAGGCTCGGCTGCCGCCGGCGGGCCAAGCACATGAAGGTGCGCCAGGCCACAACCTGCAACGACAGGGTTGGGACGTCTGGAACAGGTTGCCGAGCTCACATCAGACAGCATCGAGAAGACATTGCAGCTGCAGTGGAGGCATTGCCGCTTACACGTTGCATAATGTCGTCCCACGGTCCGTGTGAAGAGCCGCCGCCGCCGCTCATGCAGAGTCACATACCTGGTTGTTTTGCATGGTTGCTGGACAGGGGTATCGAGGATGTGGTTTGTGACGCCTGGCTTCTTGCCTCCACAGCGAGCGCGCGCCATCCATGGCATTCTTCGCTTTTTCGCGGCGCGCCGTAAGGTTCGTGGTTTTCTACAGCTTCGATAAGAAGAACGTCCTCCGAGTGGAGATGCTTCCCGGGAGGCGCCCAGGTTGCTGCGGGTTCACGTGACAGCTTTTGAATGGTGGTTCTGTAGGGGTCGCCGAGCCGGGTTCAGGGCCTAGGGATGCCTAGGGTTAAGGCGGCCGAGGCTTGATCCCGGTGTACCGGTTGACACCTTTCCTTTTGGGGGTAGCGGCCTTTCCAGGGTTTAGGGTTTAGGGCCTTGGAACAGCACGGTTTCAGGCTTAGCTCCCGGATATTCCTTCTTGGAGCTTAGTGTGCTTTGCAGCTGACAGAATCTCTTTGCGGCCTTTTCGCTGCCTGTTTCTTCAGGGTCTTGATCGCCCGAATTGGTGAATCTGTCCAACATGCCCGAGTGCCGTTATCACTTGGGTACGTTGGGGGCGCCTCCGAGCCAGCAATCAGGGATATTCTTCCAAACATAGACTAGAAGCCTCATGGACAAGTTCGTAATGAGAAGTTTTCGGAATGCGTTCCTGAAGAGGCCATCGCAGGGGCAGTGGGCAGAGAAGAACTGCCTCCAGCTGCCGCTGATCTGCAAGTCCGGACATGAACGGGGGAAACGGGGCCTGAGATTTTCACCTCAACCAAAACCTTCGACTGGCTGGGTTGCGGTTCGGTACGCATGTCCCTCGTAAGGAGACTCTGCTTTCGTCTTTCAAGCTGAAGCATCTCGTGGGTTTCTGCATAAGACTTTGGACATCTGTGCCGGAAAGACTTTCTCCAACTTAGTAGCTGTGCCTTGTGATCCGACTTGCGCGTTGCGACAGACTTATTCCGTCGCTGGCTTCTGACAGACACCGGACCAAGCAGGCGATTCAAGAAGTCGACAAACGAACTGTCGCGAGGCCTAGCGTCGTAGAATCGCATCAAGGGTGAATCACCCCGATGAGACAAGACGAAAAAAGAAGAATCAGACGAACATCAGAGCGCTATATCGAGATGCTTCGCAGAATCTGCAGCTGCGCGCCACATGATACGGACCCAGATCAGCATCCCAGCCCAGAGCACTAGGCCTAGGCTTTCAAAGACGCTGAAGCTTTGTAGGTGGGTGGGGGTCAAGGTTTGGGCTTTGGAGTGAAAATGTAGTTGGGATTCTACAATTCGGGATGCAGTTCCCGGACTCGGCACTCATCCTGAGGCACGATGCTCCTGCTGGACATTTTTGGGTGTCGGTCCTGTGCTGGCACCGGGGCAGTGACCTCAGAAAGGTTCAGCTCAGCAGGGAGTTGTTCCAGACTGTGGCAGCTTGATGCACTCAGGTTCGCTCACAATGCCGCTGGCGATGGGGCACTGCGACATCCCAGTGACCCTCTTACTTGTAGTGAAGCGGGAGGAACCTAGAACCTAGAAGCTAAATACTCGTAAGGTCGTCGAAGCAGAGCCAGGCAGGTCTCCGAGTTCGCGATGCTTTGCCGGTTGAGTTGGCTATGTCTGCAGGTCCCTCTCGGAAGCGCGCTGATGTCGCCGAGATCGGCACCGACGCAAAGCCCTGGGAAGTTGTCGACGCAGGCCTCTGGAGCTCCGAGCAGACTTGGGCGATTTTACTCCGCTCTGCTCCGCCAGGCACCGATCCAAAGGATGTGATCAGGCCTGTCGCACATGCGGAGGCTTGGCCACGATCCGCTGCTGGAGGGGCTCATTTTGTATCTCCTGAGCTCGGACAGGTGCAAAACGTGCCGGCATCCGTGGATGCGGCAAGTCAATTTCCGGCAGTGTTTCTCCCAGCTGAACCTGACTGAGAGCTCGCGAAGCATCGTTGCTGTGCAGCGAGGTCCCCGTGGAGTTGTGCGATGCCTCCACCACACCAGAGCGCACTGACAGCACGCAGCGTTGTTATGTTATGACTATTGTAATTCATTGACTGGGCCAGGATCGCGTCTGCCAGCCCGAAACCGAGCTTTGTTCCAGAGTGCCAATGGTGGGCGGTGGTTTTTCTTGCGCCTTGGAGAGTTGAGGTGAAAGGCGAGTTGCCAAAGTCGGAACCAGCCTCGGCAGCTTCGACCTCCCAGTGCAACTGCAGTGCCAGGACGGACAGCGCGAACCGCCCAGCCGGCCTATCGGGCCCTAACGGGCCCTAACGACTCTAACCCTAACCGCCATCTCTTTCCATCACGTGCTGGAACACATCGCGTCTCTCGAGGAGATCGCTTCTAGCGAGGCGGGCTCCCAGGGCGCAAAAGGAGCCTCGAAGTTTGTGGGAACATGGCTCCGTGGGGACTACGCTTATGGCAGAACTTCAGAGGACTTTGGCTCACCTGGCTGCCTCACGGCTTGGTGGAGGCCTTCTTTCTGTGGAGACCTTGGAGGGGAAGCCCATTCTGCAACCGCAGGCAGCGCCGCGGCTAGTGGTGCACGCGCGGCGCATCACGGCCACGGCGGCAGAAGACGAGCCAGGTCGCAGATCCGAATCTTCTACGGGTTCCCATGCTACTTGTAGCTGAGCGAATCGGGGTTATTAGTGGTTATGATGTGTGCGACTGACAAGACTTGTGCTTGCTTCTGAACTTTGTAACAGCCTCTTCACAGCCGCCTCCAGCAGAAGGCGAACGCGGAGCGCGGGTTCCCGCGGCCATGAGCTTGAACCAGGCTCGTCGGCGCAACTCCTCCCGTCACCACGTCTCTGCATGCTTTCACACCTTGGATTTCTCTTGCCCCTTCTCTCCGCCTTTCGGAGGCTTCCTTCGAGCACTTGGAGGAGGGCCGCTACGAGCTTTTGCTGAGCTGCGAGCTGGGTGCTTGCTCTGCAGAGGCCTTTTTGCGTGGTGTGGCCTTTCGTTTGGGGTTCGGGGTTGGTTGGGGAAGTGTAAAGACTTGCTCGTGGTGCCAGGTCAGGCGATGCCCTCACGATCGCTGTGGGAGACATGTCTGGGCGGACAATCTCGAGGCCAGGCGATGGCACGCTCGAGAATGCATGATCTGCCGAAGCCATGCGCGGGCAGGATCATATCAGGTCAGAAGCCCACTCCCAAAACGCACCGAGCAGATTTCAGACTGAAAGAGCGACAAGGAGGGGTGTAATGAGAGCATCCCCTTCTCTGAGGCACTGCCCCTGGCGGCCTCGTCAGTGTCCTCGTGCTCCCGTGGGGCACCAGGGTCCTAGTTTATTCGACGTGATGACGAGCTTGTGACATGTCGTGAGGTCTGTAGTTGGCAAGGGTGCGAGGATGAACTCCAGGAAACGCTCGATACAAGTCAGGATGATACTCATGTGAGCCAAGATGCAGCATTCCCTCCAGGAGCATTTGCACGACTGTTCTGGGCGAGAGATCCCATGTCGGCACTGTGTTCGGCCCAGCACAGTGGCCTTTGACACGGACTGTGCCTGTGATCCCCTTATGTCAGGTGGCCTGGGCTGCTGGTGGGTGGGGCCTAGCAAGGTGCAACATGCTGCTCGGGAAGTTGGGCTGCGCGTTTTTTTTCATCGCCAGGACGAGGAACGGCATTTGGAGGAGGACTGCCTCGACCCCTGCGTCGCAGATCGTCGCAGCATCTCGCACATGGCTGACGTGCCGTTGCTGAGGTGAGCCCCAGCGGCTTCTGAACATCGTGCGCCCGCTCAACGGGCTGCTCAGCGAAGCCTGCCAGTGGCCCCAACGAAGTGAAGCATCGGGTGGACCACTCCAGCCTCCCCTGAGTCCAGCACCTGTCTGAGGCCCTGACTTCCGCAATCCGGAAGTCGTTCGCTTGCAGGCCGAGAGCATCTTCTGGCTTGGGCTTGGAAGGGCTTGAGACTTGAGCTGAGCGAGGCGAAAGTTGTGGCCTACCGACGCTCGGTCACTTGCCCAGCGAAGCGAACGCGAAGCTGGCGACGATGCCCTCAGAATGAGGTCTCTGCTCCCGGGGGGCCGTGGCGGGAGCATAGCGCTCGGACATCTACCGTTTTCGCATGCCTTCGCCTTTCAGCCCGCCGGTGCCACCGGCAAGTTTCGTTGGGTGCAGGTGGAAGACGCCCGGTCGCTGCTTCTCATGCCGAAAGCCGGTCGACCGCCGGGAACAAGGATGCCCAGCTACCATGGGTCAGTTTAGGGCTCGGGGTTCCTGTTGTTGCTGCAGCAGGACTGCAGAGCGATAGCGGCGAGCATCGGCTGTGCTGGTCCTGTCTGTTCTTGCCTGAGTTCAAGGGACAGGGTCTCTGGCATTCCCAAGTACTCCTGGAAGTTGCTAAGGCCAAAACACGTTGATTGGCAGCACTTTAGAGACAACGCCTGACGCCGGAAAAGTGGCGCGGCGGTCACGCCAGGGAAGACCCATGGCGATTCCTAGCCAAAGATCATGCAGTTCGGCAACCGAACGCGACATGAGGGGTGCACGTTTGCACTGGTGGCCAAGATGGCTGACCGTTGGGCGTGCATGTGCTGGGGCCAGAGTCAAAACGGTGAACGCTGCTGGCATGTTGCATCATCACCTGCGGTGCGGTGGCTAGACACGATCAGCACATGTGGGATATGACGCAGCCTCTTTTTTGTCAACTTTAGCTTCGCCTTCGCCGAGTGGGCCCTGGTCGATCTTGCGTTCTGAAGCGCACTTTCCCGCATCGGCTCGGGTCGATGCCAAGGCACAGTCCCCGGCACAAGCAAGTCGCTTGTTTTGGCGCGCTTACAGAATAAGTATAAGGACCTTCCTACGTAGAATCTTCTTTTGGGTACCTTGATCGTGCTGCTCCGCTTTGGCACACTGCACACTTGAGCGAAGAGGGAAACGAGGTGGCTGGTTTTCATCTCGGCAAAGGAGAGTTTGGGTTTGAGACGTGGTTCGGCTGGACGTGAGGAACCAAACCTTCTGCCCCATCAGTGACGAGACTATCGGAGAGGTTCTTTGCGTGTGCCCGGCCAGCTTGTAGTGGCGGAGATCAGCTTGCCTGAATCTCAAGCCAGGCCGTGGATGAAGTCTGTGTTTGCGCGAACTCTTCGCACATCCGGGAGCTTGCTGGAGCCTTATGGGTATCCCCATCATTCCGAGCAGTAGCCTCCTCAGCTGCCTTTGCTGGGCAGAGACAAGGCAAACGTGACCGTGGACGGCCTGGCGTGCTATGCTTGTGAGCCGCGGCGACCACCGGCTTGCACGGAGGCTGGATCTTTGGGGTCCTTGGCCACCTGGACGTGGGGCGAAGTGGGGATGTTTTTCAGCGCTTGAGAGGCAAATGACCAGTGCACGCCAGAGGCGTGTGAATGTGGCAACCCCTTGACCCACGCAAGCCTGTCATGTTGCCGAGATGTCGCGCTGAGATGTTGGGTCAAGTGCCTTTTTTGTGGGTGTGCAGTGCAGGGTAGGAGATGGTCCAGTGCTCGCAGCCTCGCCAGGTGAAGCGGGATGCGACCACGGTGGACGGGAGTCCATGCCACTACTGTCCAGTCCCAAGACCAAGAGATGTCCAAGCCGGTAGTTTTTTTTCTTGCTCGATGCCGGCGTCTCTTGTGGCCAGGCGAGCCAATCGGGGGCATGGCCGGCATTGGACGGCAGCGGTCCCGTCTTATAAGGAGTGTCAGAGATGAGACGAAGGTCCTAAGGTCCTGGGTCCTTGCTGCAGCCGAGGCCCGAGTTCTTCATGGTGCTCATGGTGCTGGCCTTGATCGCCATGTGGCAGCTCCTGGGAAGGCCTAACAGTCTAACAGCCCTCTGAGGGTCTGTCGAGTCAAGCTCTGCACCTCTGCAACCCCCCCCTTGCACCGCAATCCTATGGACGCGATACGGAAGTGGTTTCGCAAGTCGAACAGTCGAGGAGTGCGGTCACAGCCTTCGAATCGGCGCTCAGCAGTCCGACAGAAACATTCACGTGGGAATGATGGATGTGGCGAAGTGTTTTTCAGAATGCCCAACATGCCCAACACCTGGAAAGCCGGAGCAGTCATGAAGCCTTGAACCGCACTTGTGGCCAGGAAGCCTGTGCCGGGAAAAAGCAGTTTGCGGCTTTCTCGACGGCAGGCGCGAGTGCGAGCGACACGAGCCCATGGCTGCTGCAATTCTGCGCTGTGGGCCTGCTCAGGGTGACCGAAACCGAGCCATACGAGTACAACAGGAACCGCTGCGGTTCTACGAGGAGGCCGAAGCCGAGCCCTGCTCCACTCGATACCATGACTGCACTGCCAGGTGATGTTCATGGTTGGAGACTTCTTCGATTTCGTAGTCCGGGGCTTGCATGATGATGGAGGAGTCACAGGGACCCAGTTTTTAGATGGAGCGAAGGTGGACGGTGCCTGGGAGCTCTTTCGTGTGGACCTAGCCTCAGCTTTCTTTTTGAGGTCCTGTACGACTGTGCGTATGGTGATCAAGCAGGCGTGGGGTCTTCTCCAGCGCCTCGCGGCCTTCCTTAGCAGCGTTCGCATCTCGAGACCGTGCACCACGAGCCAACTTTGCTCGGCTGCAAGCCCCGAACGCGGAAGCCGGCCGAGGCTTCACCACTGAAGACGGTGAACGCGATAAGGTCGTGCGGGCCCTGGGCTTCAGGGAGACTGAGGCAGAAGGGACCAAACCATGCAAGCCTGTGTTGCTGCTTCTGCTGCCGCTGCTGACTGTTACGACTGCTACTTCTTCTACAGCCTGTACTGCTTCCACCTTAACCGCTACCACTGCTATGCTCCGACTGCTACTCCGGCTGCGGCTCCTGCTCCCGCTCCAGCTACTGCTGCTGCTACTGCTACTGCTACCTGCTACTGCAACTGCAACTGCTACTGCTACTACTCCCACTCCTACTCCTCCTAGTACTTCTACTGCTACTACTACACATACTACGACTGCTGCTACTGCTACTGCTACTACTACTACTACTACTACTACTACTACTCCTGCTGCTGCTGCTGCTGCTGCTGCTGCTGTTGCTGCTGTTGCTGCTGCAGCAACAACAACAACTACTGCTACTGCTACTGCTACTGCTACTGCTACTACTACTACTACTACTACTACTACTACTACTACTACTACTACTACCCACTGCCACAATTACTACGACAATTGCTAGTGCAACTACCTACTGCTACAGTGCCTACTACAGTTACGACTACAATTACTACAACAATGACTTCTACAATTGCTACTGTGATTACAACGACGACTACTGCTTCCTCTTCTAGTTCGGCTTCTACATTTCTACTTCTTCTACTACTTCACCTCTTCTATCCCTTCCTCTTCTACCTCTTAATCCTTCTAGTTATTCTACTTGTTTTTGTTTGTTCTACTTCTGCTACTTCTTCTATTTCTGCTTCTTCTACTTCTGCTACTTCTACTTTTTTGCTACTCTACGACCACTGTTTGCACGACTCTCGCAACTTCTACGACTTCTGCTGCTACGACTGCGACTTCTACGACTTCTACTAATACTACTTCAATAAACCAACGACTTCTTCGACACGACGACAGCAACTACTGCTACTGCGACTGCTGCTGCGCCACGACTATTGCTATGACTACCACTGGCACTCGCACTACCATGATTACTACCGCACTACGACTACGACTACCACTACCACTACCACTACCACTACCACTACCACTGCTCCTCCTTTGCTGCTCCTGCTGCTGCTGCTGCTGATGCTGCTGATGCCACCAGTACAGCGACTACCACCACCACTACCAACACTGGCGCTGCGTATTGCGGTCACACCTTGCCAGGTTCATCCGGCCGGCGAAGGACGACCTTGACTGGGACGTGGTGTCCACCCACAGGGAAGCGAAGCGGCCACTGCGGAGAAGACTCGAGGCCTCCGTCCTGTGAGGTCCTTGTGAAAACTGCGAGGCTTGAACCAGGAAGCCAGAGGTATCCAGTATCCCCAAAGCAAATGCTTTATACATCTCTGAGCCCTAAAGCCCAGAGCCCTCGCGCTTCAAGCCCAAGCCCAACTCTTGTCATGGGCGCCAGGCCCCGACAGCTGACTGTGCAGCTGGCAGTGCGACCGCAGGCTTGGGACAAGAACGTCTCGACTAGACCACGAGCTTGAGGTCTCGTCCAGGGTTTCAGGTTTGGGTTTCGTGGTGTGCAATGAGCCTGCAAGCACTTGTGTCCAGCCCGACAGCGTATTGTCAGCGGTTATATTCTAAGCCCTGGGCCGCAGAGGTCCCAGCCGCACCCTTCTCGGACCCTTGCTTTTGTAGGCCTCGCACCGGTGCGGCCGTCCGCTCAAAAGGCGCCAGTACCCCGGCCGGAGAAGGCAGCGAAGGGCTTGAGAGCTGTTGACGGCATGTTCTTCCTCCTTCCGCGTGCATGGACATGTTCGACCTCACTCAACATTTCGTACAAAGTCGGACATCTGTCATCAGTTTTCTATGAGTCATTCCGGGTTCCCAGATCGCTGCGAAAATGAATAGGTTTTGCAGAGCGGTGGAGGCCCCCTAGACTCAACAAGTTAGCCAGTTCACTCAGCTATCGCCATGGTTCCCCGAACCATACGGGTAGTTCTCTGAATTAGGGTCCCTTTTGCGGTCCTCTGTATAAGGGTGCCGTACTATTTTGGGGACCTAATACGGGACCCTAATGTGGAGAACTACCCATTTGTCGATGAGCAAGCAGCTGTTCTTGATCCTCTTTTTTTTTTCTGGAAACCTCGGCCTGGAGGGGCCCATGGTGCATAGAGACAGCATCGGATTGGAAGTCTTGGGTGCACCTCTGACGGTTCCTTTCCTCACCACTACCTGTCACAGCTTTGGATGTCTACACCTTGAGAATCCTACCATAAATCAACCCGTATAGAGTCTAGAGCTCTAAAGCCCTGATGGAACTTCCGCCAGCTGCTCGAAGCCACTGGTCCGCAAAGCTTGTCTCATCACAGCCCCGAGACGTTTTGTTTCGGAATATTTTTGCTTTATGAGAGCATCTCTAGAAGTCCTGTCACGCAGAGATGCTGCAGCTGGAAGCTGTGCGCAGGCTCCCGAGCGGAAGCTTTCGAACACAAGCCCGGGAGTCAGCTGGGGCTCAGGCGCAGCTCTTTTCAAACTTTGCCCGGACTGAGGCACCGCATCAAAGGCCATGGAGCAACAGGAGAAGGCCCCGCGGCCGCATGCAGAAGGCAGTGCAGTGCGGAGTTCGCGCCCTTTCAGGCGAAGAAGGTCGCCGAGAGGGTCTCCGAGAGGGTCTCCGAGAAGTCGGAGAAGGTCTCGGAGCCGAAGCCCAAGAGGAAGCTGGAGCGTCAGGCGCGGAGAGCGGCCCAGAGGTGCGACATGAACTTCAGAGCTCTTTGCAGGCAGAGTCCCGTGCTCCAAACGGCCGGACGCCGGGAGAGCGAATCGTGTTGCGGTTCAAGCCAAAAACCTTCAGAAATCCGAGGCGCCACGAAGGCGTCACCAGAGCCGGTAGAAGCTCTTAGAGAAGCCAAGGCTCTGGAGTTGCGAGTTTCCAAAGTCGGATCTGGCGCGATGGGGATTTCAGTGTGCACGGCAGGCGAATGAGAAGGCACGAAGCCGCCGGCTCAAAGAGGGGAGACCCGCAGCACAAGTTTCTGGCGTGATTTGGCATCCGAGGACCGGGACCCAAAGCGAAGCTTTGTCCCTCCAAGGCCGCGTGGCTCGGGATCAGCGGTTCCCCTCTGTGCTCCGCCGCTCCGGCGCCGGTAGGTTCTCGAAGAGAGGGGCCCGGGCCAAGATGGTCCGGCAGCCGAGCTAGGCCGGGGAGCTGGAAGTTACAGGAGAGGACTCAGAAAACACCTTGGCCCGACAGGCAAAGAGGCTAGTCTTAAAGTTGACAGTCAAGAGGCGCATGCCCCGTCTCTCCTGTTTCAGTTGACATGGGCATGCGCCTGCTGAAGTTTCAGGTGGTGGCGGAGACATGCACTTCATGTGCGCAAACGGAAGTGCAGTCAGATCCTCTTCCCTTAACTCATGCCTCGACTCAGAAGGGTCGAGTGGTCGAGTCTGTTCAGGTCCGATCTTCCAAAAGATGTGCACTTTGAACTGTGCCCGGCTGAGCTTCCCACGAGAGAGGGGCCGAGGGGCATTGACGGATCAACGTTCCATTGAATACCTATGGCCAAAGCTCCCGTGCAGGCCTTCCCCGTCTCCGCTATACAAGGCAGCAATCGCCGCCGGGTGCTCAGGGACCGGGTATTGTGTGGAGTTGGAGCGAACGTGTTTCCAAGTGTGGTGCATTGCGAGCTTTGACTGTGAGTCTTTCAAGAGCTGAGGTTATCAAGGCAAGTGCTGTCGAAGCCGCCGTAGAGGTTGAAGGAAAAAGTTTCATGCAGTCGCGACCTCAGGATGTCGCGTCCAGTGGAAGGTTAGTCCAAGCGAATCCTGCGAACTCGGCTGCCACAAGACTTGTGTGGAATGCCTGCTATGCTCTTCACTTACTAGTAACTAGTAGCGAGCAGCAAGATGTCCAAGCCACGCATAGCTCAGAACTCAATGCTGTTTATACAGGGAGGAAGAGAGAGAGAGAGAGAGAGAGGTTACCGTGTGCGTGCGCAGGGGGGGGGGGGACAGGGTTCTGCCTGCCTTCCTTCGGCTGTGCAGAAGAAGAGAGAGGTTAGCCTCCTGGTGATCTACACTCGTTTCTCACTCCCCGCGTCCCGACATTTTGTTGGGTGGGCCTGGCGCCCGGGGACGTTGACCCGTCCCTACGCCCTGCAAAGAGAGAGAGAGTGCTGTAGGGGGCTCACAAGGGTGCTAAGCCGAGTTGCTGTGAGTGTGCATTGGCCGGGGCCTCAGAGTGTAGTGTTTCACGCACGTTTTTTGCAGCATGCTAGGGGGCGACAGAGTTGTTGTTTCAGTCCTTCCGGGGGTGGGGGGGAGTGTCCTGCACAGTTTAAAGGCACCACAGTCGTTGTAGTACGGAGTCGCAACTCGTTTAGCAGCAATACGCTGCGAGACGGAGTACAGAGCATGCTGCCGAGTGGAGATGAGGCCGGGGGACCACCAGGGTTCTATAGAGTTCAAGCGGGGGCTTTGGAGCGTCCATCCCTCGGCCTCAACTCAGCCTGCAAACTCACACAGACCAAGAGACCCAGTGCGCGCTCGCGCGCGGGGAGGGCGGGGACCCGCTTTCCTCTAGCTGTGCTGAAGAAGAGAGAGAGAGAGAGAGAGAGAGAGAGTCCTTGGGGTTTCCCCCTGCATCATAGCCCTGGCGAAAGAAAGAGAGAGAGAGTCCTTTTTTGGCACCCGCAACAGTCGGGGAGAGAGAGAGCGAGATTCTTGAAGGCCCCCACAAGGCCCCTAATACAGGGGTGCGCCATCCGGCGCGGGGTGCTTGACACGCACCTCAGGCCCCGGAGAACAGAACAGAACAGAGAGCGGGAGCTTCCCCTGCCCATAGCCCTGGCGAAAGAAAGAGAGCGGGAGAGAGCTGTTATAGCCCTGGCGAAAGACAGAGCAAACAGCAGCTCTGTGAAAGAACATGTTCTCACAATCCCCAGAACAAACGGGGTGCCCTGGTGGCCTGGGGATTTCGCACATCCCCGATGCCCTGTGGAAGAGCAGACCAAGTTGACAAGTGCGTGCTTGAGTGCGGAGAGTAGTCCAACTGCTCCTCTTGCCGGTGTGGAAGAAGAGAGCATCTGGTGGCGGGGCGGCTTAGCTCGCTCCCCATGCATTGGCGAAGAAGTGACATATCTGCATAAAATGTTACATGTTTGTGTGTATGTATGTATGTATGTATGTATGTATGTATGTATGTATGTATGTATGGGTGCATACATGCTTGCATGGATGAATGAACGGATGGATGCATGCACGGATAGAGGGCCTTGTGGATTGATGGATGTATCCATGTGCATCAAGCAGACAGGTCCCAAGAGCGAGGACAATACACCGCAGAAATGGCCAGGACAACGACGTCATACCTCCTCGCCGAGAATGCAAATATGGAGACAGGGACGTGGTCAAAGCGGTTGAAACACACTGATATAGCCATATATGATATTCTCGTAACTTCAGAACCCGACATTTCCAGGATAAGGTTGGCTTTGTGTTTTTGGTGGAAAGTGGGATGTTGCAGCTGTGACTTAAACTCGGAAAAATGTCAGCAGCTGGCCTGATGCTGCTTTTTGGGAACCTTCACTAGCAGATTCGTGATGTCACTGCTAGTCTTCTTTGTCTCCGTGTGCCAGGTTTTGCCGAAGCACTCCCGGATCTGAGCGATTCAACAACCATGTGTCCTCTCATGTCCACTTTTAGAGTTTCGGTCTGCGTCCTGCTTGGGGTGCATTCACGTTGTAACGAGAGTATTCTAGGGCTTTAGCTGAGGGATCCGTCAATAGAGTGTTTTCATGCCAGAAGAACCAGAGGCCAAGCTGTACTGTATGGATGCAGCGATGCGAGAGGACAGTCACGAAATCGCATTGCAGAATATGCTAGTGAGTGCACTGAATGTCCGGTCTTTATTGTTGTGGACTTCAGGATTCAGGGAAGTGATGTGTCTGCCATTTTGCTGCTCCCGAGGTCGACAACTACAGTGATGCTGGAGGACGTATCTTGCGGAAAGCTTGCGCGAAGTCTTAGACGTCGTGGCCAGCATCGAATCGAGCTGCGGGAAGCCCTCGAAGCATGGCCAGGAGTTTGAAGGTTCCACGGAGGGCAGCATTGCTCCAAACGACGACGACACGGCCCAGACTGAGAGCGAGGCCGGGATTTCAGCAACGGACTTTTCGGTCCGCTGAGACTAGGACCTCCTGAGCTATCTTAGTCCCACACACCGACGAATCGAAATGATCCTGTCCAGGACTGCGACAACCGCGGGTCCTTGAGGCTTGTCCTGCCTTCGAAGTTTAGTGTCGGTGAGTTGGGTCGGGACGGGAGTCTGGGATGCTTCGAGCATTTGATCCCTGAGCTTTTCAAGCTTGGGCAGCTGAGGGCGAATACTGCAGCTGCCGCGGCCGCTATCCTTGCCGTTGTGCCCTCAGAGCTTCGATTTGTTGCTTTCGAATTGCGTGAAGAATTCAGCTCGCAGCCAGGGATGTCTTCTTTCAGATTGAAACAACCAGCGTCCCGCAAAGAAGAGGTCTAGTGAACAAGAAGCCACGACGACGCCACAGCCACGCATCGCACAATGCCACCTGAGACGTTTCCTGTCTGAGGCGGCTACAGACAAGCGAGCTGCAGCACTTGAGCTGCTCGATGCCATGCCCCTAGAAACAAGCTGCGAAGGGCGTGTGGAGTTTTGGATTCCTTTTTTCTGCATATCTGTTTCGAAACCAATGGAGAGGCTGCTGCCATGCCGACCATCGAAGTGCGGACGTTCCTCTCTGAGCCGGACATGGAGGCCCCCAAGCTCCCCATCCTCCGTCGCCTGTGCTTTGGGCCCTCCGAGCGTCCGCGTCAGGCTCCCGTCATGAGGAGAACGGTGAGCGACAGCGACCTCGCGCGTGCGCGGCCGAGCTTCCACGTCCTCACGGCCCCACTCTTCACTTTGAATGCCCTGGCTGCCAAGTCTACTGCTGAGCCGACCTGAGCGGTCGTCAAGTGTGAAACGGAAATTGGGTTGCCTAAAGCGGCACTCAGTCAGCGACGTGTAAGCGGCAGTGTGCTTGCTTCGGACCATGATTCTTTCGGCGAGCCCGCCCGGCCCCGTGATCTCCTGTGCTAAGCTGCCGCAAACTTCGCTGAGTTCCTGCATGATGCCCTATGCGCGCACATCCCTGGGCATCTTAAACTCGATTTGCTCCACCCATTTCGGCAAGGCAAACCTTGTCCAACTGGGTTATATAGCATGTCGGCACCTTCAAGAGTGGAGCCCGAACTGGCTTCACTATGCAGCTAGGCTGCAACTTCCTGAAATTGTGGTAGGGTCTTCCTGCCACCGGCCTCTCCAGCCAAGTCTAGGTGCAAGCTACGCTGAACGAGGTGATCGTCATCGCTGGCCACCCAAAGCCCAGAATATTAGTTGATATAATCAGAATTCCATCACCTTTGCCACCGTGGTATAATTGGCCCATAAGAAGAGAAAAACGGAAGATGACCGCAGAAGTTGTGGCCCTCTGTTCAGTTTTGCCTGGCAGGCCTGGCCACTGTGCGGGAGTTCGCTGTTCACTTCGAAGACTTCACCCACTTTGGGGTTCTTTGGTTTTTTTTGGCGAACGGAACTCCCTCCGTGGCGCACAGATTCTTTCCTACGTGAGAATTTCAAGGCGTTGCGCGCGGCAGTGTTTCGGCGGTCATTTCTCCCCGGATCCTTGGCGAGTTACTTGCGGGAGCGGGAATCAACCAATCGCAGATGTCCTAGAGGTCGGGAGGTCGGGGCACAGAGCCCGAAACCCCGAAAGGCCCTCTAGGCCCTAAAGGGCCCCTCTTAGAGAGTCCAAGTTGCACCTTCCGCCCCCGGTGTCCTTCGGCTGGCGACTCCTTGAGTCATGTGGTGCGAGCCCATCTTCAGAGCAGCCGATGTCCGAGACTGAGCAGGGTTGGCTCTTTGAAACCATTCCTTGCTCGGAGCGAAGCATGCCGCCTTTGCAGCAGAGAGCAAAAATCCGGGCAGATCCCGGAAGCGCATCATGAAACACATGATCTGCACCTGGGGTCCCTTGTTGGAGGCTCGCCTTTGAAGCCTTCTCTCAAGCAGAAGGCTTTAGCAGAGAACAATCTGCAATGTGTAGAAACTTTCCGAAACTAGATCTTTTTGCGAGCGCATGCTGTCTGGAGGACGTATGTGACAAGGAGACATTGCAGCATACGAACTTCCCTCCATTTCCATGTTCGTCTTCAATTGCTGCGCAGCTTCCAGGGCAGAGAAGGCGTCCAGTTCTGGGGCTAGAATCCCAGAAATCCCTAAATTCCCAAACCCCTGAACTCTTAATCAGTCTTAAAGCCCGAAACTCTGAACTAAAACCCTACGGCCTGTGCGGAGGCGAAGGAGAGTGTCTTTGACAAGTTGCTCCTGGATGGCTTCTCTCAAGTTGCAAGCAAGGGCTTGCTGTGCCACACCCAGCTCCCAAAACCCCGAACCCGAAGCCCCAAAGCTATAAACCGATCATCCCCTCAGTGGAGCCCTACACCATCCAACACCCCAAAGGCTAAACCCACACAAGTTCTTCTCCAAGTAAGGCGCTCGCAGACCTCGAGCATCGTTCGCCGGACTGTCGAGGCGCCCCCAACCCTTTCAAAGCCCCATTCCGATGGCTTTTGCAGGTCCCGATCTCATCAGGTTGAGAGTATGATGTCGGCCAAGTTTGGCTTGACTTGGGGCTACCAATAAAGAGTGCAGGGGCTGCATCATGCGCTACCTCCTGGCAGCCTGCGGTTGGCACTCCATGTGGAATTGAAACGGCTTGTGACAGATGCTTGTGTTCGACCACGATTGCTATGAAACCTCAGTCCCCCTCCAGCTGACAACAAGTTGGTAATGTTGCTGATGTTAGAACATTGGACACGGGCTGCGTCTGAGTGCTGACATACCGGTCATCATGACGGGCAATCGCGTCGATCTCTTGGCAGGGGAATCTCGGACTGGTTCTGTCGCACTCCCCGGATCATTTCGCGAAGAAGCGGGAAATGACTCGTCGGGCCCCAGTGGTGTATCATGAGGGAGGTTTCTTATGATGTTGCTTTGCCAGGATAGCGCATGATGGCACACGCACAGTGCGAACTCAATCAACACATGTCATATTCTAGTTAAACGCATCTTGATTTGGGGCAGCCTGTGTTTCCAGGGTGTACGGGCTGAGGGTTCAGGGGATAGGGATCGGATAGGGCGGAGTGGGTCAGGCTTATTTGATTGTGTTTAGGGTATGGCGTGGAGCTTTTGTTTCGGAGCGCACGGAGTTGGAGTCCAGGACGCCACACCCTAGACTCCTAGCCGCTCATCGAGTATGTATTGTTTGCAGCGCGAGTAGCACGATTCTTTTGAATTGACCAGCCGCACTGGCAATCTGCACAATCCGACATGCACTCACGCACCTTCAGGTGGCGACAAAGAGGTGGTGATGGATGCTGATCCGGAGGCCATCAGCATGAGCGTCATCAGCATCAGCATCAGCGTCATCATCATCATCGTCGTCATCATCATCATGCATCATCAGCATCATCGTTGTCCTCAGTCATCTCAGCATGGATCTTCGGTTTCCTGGCCTCCTCTGACGCTTCTCAGGCATTCAATTTCAACAAGGTCCCTTCGGAGGAGCTTGTTGGTGTGCCTCGCCGTCCTTGGTGGGCCGATCTTTGACGTGTCTCCTGGCGAAGCTCTGAGGTCGAGGACTCTTCTGAGTTTGCCGTGAGTGCAGCGGCCACAGAGTGCGACAGCGGAGAGAGCGGTGCGAAACTGCGACGCCGACTCGGGTCCTGAGGTCCTCGCCTGCGGCTCCCCGCTGGCGATCGGTCACATGCCACGGGCCGAGTGGAGCTGGGGGGAGCCCCGAGCTCCGCTTGAGTCCGCTTGAGAGGGTGCGATGCGGTGTGCATTGGAGGTTGCTGGTGCCACGGAGGGACGCGGCTGCTCCGCAGGCGCCGGGCTGGGCTGTCACGAGGGCAGAGGCAGAGCCGAGTAGATTTCGGCAGGTGCTGACGACGGAGCTCCTGCGTTGCGGGCTGGACCTCGTCGGCAAGTCTTGGAGGAGAGACTTCCGGCTCCTCTTCAACTCAATGCAATGCTCCCGGATCTAGAGCGCTAGAAGAGAGATTCGTGTCGAGCCTCTGCGAGTTTTGAGGTTGGGCTTCGCTTCGGTCAACCACTTCCACTACCATGGCCTCTACTTGGAGTACTGTGGCTTTAGTCAAAGGCTCCCAGAAGGGCTGTTGTTCGCTGAGCCCATCTGCTGACCTGCGCAAGAGGCAATTCCCTGTGGAGCGCGTGGAGCGTTCCACTGTGGGCGGTGGCAGAACATACGGTCCGGAGCGGTTGCAGCATCAGCTGGAGCATGGTTGATCGTATGGCATGGAAGGCAAGCTCTGCGTTGAGCTCCTGGCAGAATCACAGTGGTACTGTCGGGGATTTGCACTTTCCTCAGCTAAAAAGTTGACGGGACAAGACCAGGTCGTGCATAGAACCGGCCCCCAGGTTCTGACAGCCGGCGCTGCGATCGGCGCAGTCGGCGACACCCCACCGGCAGACCTCGAGGCAGCGACTGTCTGCGGATGTGATCGGATGTGTGTGCAGTGCATGGGCCGTTTGGGTGCAATCTTCTGCTTTGAGGCCTTGGCCACTTTCGCCGGAAACGTGATCGGACTTTTGCAGTCGAGGAGCTCACTTTCAACTGCAGCCTCTTTGACTACACTTCTCGCTGGAATGGCAGGAACATCCCTCACAACGCCTCGGCCGTAGCTGCCGGTCACAGCCTCGCCTGCTAGCTTATTGGGTGTTGAGGTCATGATCGCGCCATACCAGGGCGAGCGGAAGTCAAGGCTCGCTTGGCAAGACTGTCACAGTTTTCCGCTCGGCCTTAAGTCTGACCCAAACCCGCTGCCCAAGCCGCTGCTCCAAACCGGCAAGTAACCCGCAGGGACATGGGGGATATTTTTGCGGAAGAGAACTGGATGCCCCTGGCAGCATCGCCCGAGGCCAGCCCAGCCGGACGGTCATGCTTTTTTTTCGGGTGGCGTCCCTGCAGTGGCGCAGTCGACAACAATGAAAATGATCTTGATCGTCGTTGTCGTCATGACCCTCATCACCATCATCATCATCATCATTATCATCTTCATCTTCATCTTCATCTTCATCTTCATCTTCATCTTCATCTTCATCTTCATCTTCATCTTCACCATCATCATCATCATCGTCATCGTCATCATCATCATCATCGTCATCATCATCGTCCTCATCATCGTCGTCATCATCATCATCACCATGTTCACCATCATCATCACCATCATCATCATCATCATCATCATCATCATCGTCATCGTCATCGTCATCGTCATCGTCGTCATGATCATCATCATCATCATCACCATCATCATCGTCATCATCATGATCATCTTCATCTTCATCTTTATCTTCATTATCATCACCATCACCATCACCATCACCATCACCATCACCATCACCACCATCATGGTCATCGTCATCATCATCATCGAGCTGGTCTGCCGTTAGCTGGCCATGATAGCGTCTAAAGCAGGAGATATACAGCCGTGCAGTGCGAATCCTTGTTGACGATTGTGCAGCCAGCGCATCCAGAAAAACACACTCGGATGAAGGTGGTGGTGGTGGTGGTGGTGGTGGTGGTGGTGGTGTCGTTGCAGTTACTGCTGTTGCTCCTGTGGCTCCGCTTGCTCCTGCTGGTGTTGGCGTTGTTGCTGGCGCATTTGCTGTTGCTGCTGTTGTCGTTGTTGTCGTCCAGGACACGCCAAAAATGTGCAATAAGAAGCAGAGCATGGCGAAACAGCCTCATCCAACAGCCAGGAAGTTCTTTTAATGTCATTTATTGAATTATGTTTAGTTCAAGGGCTGCGAAGGTTCTTCGGCCACCCATCGCCTTTGTGGTGAGCAGAGTAACACGTTCCGTATCTTTGAAGTAGGCGCCCCAACACCAATTTGTTTCTGTTTGCTTCTGGTCGTGAGCTAGTTCTGGTGTCATATTTCGTTTGGGTGCAGACTCTGCGAGGTCTACATCTTCCCCAGGCGGTCGGAGGGCAAGCTGAGATCCTTGCAGGAACATTTGAGCACTGAAGCGACGTAAGTATGACAATGAAGCTTGCTGCTTGGTGAGTCTCGAACCGTTTGATGATTGAAGTCTTGTCTGTGCTTCTTATTCTGATAAGAGCGATGACACCACAACAAGCGAGAGCTGGTGTTGGCCAATTTCGCTGCTGCTTCTCCTTTTCGTCCCCGTCTTTCGCCTGCTCTTCCTACTCCTGCTCCCATTATCCTGTGTCGTCTGCGCACGAGGATCCTCGTGGTATTCTCGGCTGCGGCTGCTGGTGCTACCACTAACGACTTACCAACACTGCTGTCGTGACCACGGCTGCGACTGCGACTATCGCTATCACCACCGCCACCGCTACCGTGACTGCTCCTACGGCTACCAACGCTGCTGCTGCGGCTACCACTACCGCTACGACGACTACTGCTACCGCCTCCCTACCTCCTGCTCCTCCAGAGATCCTGCTCTTGACTTCTGCTCCTACTCCTTGTGCTCCTTCAACACCTCCTCCTGGATTCCTAGATTCTAGCCGCTACCCCATTGAAAGGAATTTGTTGCGACCAATGTGCGTCCCAACCCCCCAATCCAGCCTTCGACCCTCGTCCTCTGACCTTCTTTGAGTTTGCAAACTCGACGGGGGAGAAGCTTGAAACCGAAAAAGCGGTAGGACAGTCGGGAAAGGTCATTGGGCTTTGCCAACATTTCTACTTAGGGGTTTGGAGTTTGCAAATGTGGGCTTTAGGTTTTTCGGGTTTAAGCATCTGCTTTTAGGGCTTGAGGTTGGCCAACCTCCTTTTCTGCATGAACCTGTTTGCAAGAGTCAGGGACATGATTCGTCGAAGGTGTAGCTCGCTCCCAAACCGTTCAAACCTGAACACTCCTCTACTTGAAGCGGCAGAGGGATTAGTTAGAGTTTAGGCTTTGCCAACAATTTAGGGTGTGTGCTTTTTGTTTCTGGGGTTTGAGATTTGCCGTCAAAAAATTGAGGGTTTGCCAACCAGCAACTCACTCAGCGGGTTTGGGTCTCTTTTTTTAAGTTCACGGTTTGTCTGGGTCTCTTTTTGAGGTTTGCGGTTTGCCAACCCAATGCATGTTTAGGGTTTGGGGTGTGCAAACCAAAATCTTCGTTTAGGGTGTGGGGTTCGCGGCCAACGCCTTTCGGGCTTGCCAGCCAACAGCCTTGTTTTAGGGTTTTTGGGCTCAGGATTCAAGCCAACATCTCCTTTAGGGCTTCCATTTACACAGTACGTATACTTTTCTAAGCTGTAGGGTCTTGCGTGTTGTGGCTGTTGCATACAGTACAGTCCTGCCTTTTCAGCTGCTGCTTGTAGTACTTGCCTGACACATAATCTGAGGCCTGTCTCATCATGTTGCAAATCGCGGATAGAATCACAGCAGCAGCAGTGCATGTCTAGTTGAGACTGGGCTGGCTGAGGAGAGGATAGTGGTCTCAATGCTGCAATCTGCGAGATCTCGGGGCTAATCATGTGTCATGATGCCGGGCGCACAGCACCATCTCATGACCCTGACATGTCAACCGATGCTGCATCAATATGGAGGATGCAGTATTCCTGTTTTCAGGAAGACTGTTTCCAGGAGTTTGACGAGGATAAGGTTTCGAACCTCTTCAAGGAGGACGCTGAAGTTTGCTGCCAAAGATTCAAGCACACTCGCTCTCACACCTGCATGGCTCTTCCAGGATGTGTCGCTTTCTGGCGACGAGTTCGATGATCTTATTTGCAAGGCCGCTCATCTTGGCAATGGGTCTTGTTTGAGAACGGAAGGCCCTGCAGTCCAAGCTATGACAGGTGGCGTGGATGGTTTCTTGAGAAGGCGGTTTTCCGCGTGCAGCCCCCGCCTTTGAATAGGGGGCTGTCCTTGCGGACTTCCCCCAAGATCTCGTCGGGTCCTCGCCGACATCGCGGTCATTGATTGCATTGCCGTGTATGCGCAAAAAGGGACCTCCAACACCCAGGCAACTTGCATCCGGATTGTGGTTCGTTGGCCTTTCAGCGGGCTCTTGAGCTTTTATGCCGCATCCCTCAGCACACTGCGAAGACGATCGCACCACACAAATGACAGCACCAACCATGCAGACCAAAGGAACAACACAAAAGAACACAGAACAACACACGGAAGAGCTTCCCGGGCTGTTCGATATGGCGGGCACAGGCCTCAAGCTGGGTGGATTCATCTCCCATCGAAGCTTCGGCCGGCTGCTATTTACGGTTTAGCACTGGTGTTGACATCGATCACGCTGATCTGTTACTTGAGTGTGTAGGCTAGTACCGCTAGGAGGCAGGCTTTGCTGCACGCAGGTGTTGATTCAGGTTCGCCCGCTGTTTCCTGAGCTTCCAAGCTTCTATGCGTCCTGGTTTTGGGAGTGTTCCATGTAACCTTTCTCTGCGTTGTGGCATTAAGGCCAGTGGCAAGTGGCGAATACTTGCAGGAGCCACCGACTCAAGCGGAAGACAGCGGCAGTGATCTCGACAGGTCTACACTAATGGTCGCGTTGGAAATGTCCAAGTTCCTTCTGCAGCCGCTGAAAACTTGGCTTGCTTGTGTCAGACCTTGCTGTCTTAAACTGGAGGTCAGCGTCGTCTCAACCTCTGTCGCACTGTACGTTCGGTGCCGCACCTGTGTTTCGTGCTTCCTCAAGCTAACTGCACCGCGTTCGGCCCAAACCGTGCCAGGTTTCATCACCTTCTCACAGTGGCGAGCTTGCGTAGGACCGGGCTAACTTGCGATGTTCTGATCCCTCCCTCCCTCCCTCTCCCTCTCCCTCTCCCTCTCCCTCTCCCTCTCCCTCTCCCTCTCCCTCTCCGTCCCCTCCGCTCCCTCCCTCTCGTTCTCGCTCGCTCTTCGCGTCAGGTTTCTACACGCACGTACATGCGATGTACACGTGGCCAGACAGGTATGCACGCCTGCAATAGATAAACCCGCTGCAGATGCAGATGCGCCGTACGCGTGGACAGATGCGCATCATATACGAAAAATGCAGTCAGTTGAGATACGTGTACGCGCATATATGACCTATGCACATGCGCATGCATGTACATATATGTACATACAAATATACATAGACATGCACATACCCATACATTTGCCCATGCACCAGCACCCCCACCACCACCACCACCATCACCAGATCTCGGTGAAGCGCAGGAATCATGACTTCATCACGACGCTGGTGGATCAAAATCCAGTCCTAGCGCCGCTTTGCTACGCCCGGTGCCCGAACGGTAGGATGATGCTGGCTTGCATAGTCATCATAGTGTGTTCTTGCTTGCCACTCGCTGAGATCGCAGTCCTGGTTGCCGTGATCGGGATCACCTGTCCAGGTTAGAGTATGCCTGCTGGTTTGGTCCGAACAGCCCTGCTTCCACATAGACTGCTGCTTTCGTTCGGCCCGAGAGGTGCGACGATGCTCAGCTTCCTCGGCGGTGTCTTGTTTAAGCAGCTGCAGTCCCAGATTTGAAGTAGCAGTTTTTGCAAGCAGAAGATACGTTGAGCAGGCCCTACGCCAGCGCTTACGCATATTGTGGTTACATCGCAGGGCACCGAGCCTTCGGCCTTGTAGGGCAGTTCACAGTTCACCAAAACTTCAACTGCCTTGTCTGACGCACTCAGATCGGTGCGACAATTTCATACTTTGTCACGACCTTCGTGTTGGGAGACTACATGTGCGCGTCCTCAAGAGGGCTTCAGCAGCCACAACACCCTTTCTCTCATTGAAAAGGCGGAAGCGCCTGGCTGCCAACTCCCAGCTTTACCAGAAATTCGAGGCTTGCAGGAATCATGCGCGGACACACGGGGAGTTTTTAGATACTCGACCAGGCCAACGTGCGTTGGAAGCTTAGCTGTGGGCAGGAAGAGAGTAGAGTGTTTCACCTTCGAGTGCCAGCGCCAGCGGACCCGCCAGACCCCAGAGTCCGAGCAGGTCGCAATGCTTTCGCCTACCTCGTGGCTGCTCGCTACACAATGGAAGGAAGCCCAGAGATGTGGAGTTGACAACAGGGCCCCTGTCTGCAATCGGATTTGACCATCGAGGTCTTCCCATTTTTCTTCGTGAACGGCGCAGCTGCACTGGTAGGAGTTCGATGCAGGCGCCGGCTTTCCAGCCTTCATTAGGCCTTTCAGGTAGAAGGGAACGGGAAAGCAGATGAGCCGGCAGGACCTTCATCGCTGCAACCTCTGTGAGTTGCATCCCCGGGTCGGTGTTGCCCCCGGTTTCTCAGAGCAGCCGGGAAGGCTCCTGCCCATGACCTCTGAGGTCATCTACACCACAGCCGGCGGCGCGCTGGCGAACTTGTTGCACAAGATGACCGACGACGAGGACTGGAGCAAGTTGCTGGAGAGGCTCCGACTTCCCGTTCCGCGATCATCAGGAACTGGACAAGACACAGCTTATCTGGGCGGCACTCAGCGACCCGAACGTCAAAATATGCATGGCCGGTGTCACATGCGCCCTTGTTGCCGGGTCCCCAACCAATGTCGTATCCCTGCCATCACGTGAGAAGTTGACAGAGTCTGTGTTCTGGTTTCTAGGTGGTTGCCATCATCCAGCTCACCCAGTCTGATGAAGAGAAGAAGGCATCAAAGGGCCCTGCTCTCAACATCCAGTCACATGAAAAGGAATGGCAGACAATTTCCTTTTTGCACTGACCACCGGCTCGCCGGTCAGGTGAGTAGTGCACTGGAGCTTCTGGCCCTTCGGTGCTGCATAGAGTGAAGGGCTGTGAGGCCAAAGATCGGTGTCAGGTGACGAGGGGACCGCGATGCACAGGCTGCTCGTTTTTGGAGCGCCGAGTGCCATGGAATTCGGACACGAACAAAGCTTTCGCACAGAGCCCTGTGCCCCCCGGGAGGGGAGTGCAGAGCATGCCCACGGCCTCGCACGAGCGGGTTGCAGTGCATCCCTGTTCCATACTCGAAAATATTCCTGCTCACGCGACGTTGGGCGAGGCCTCTCCAGTCTGGGAGAGAACGGCAGGGTACAGAGCCTTCAGTGCGACTTGAAGTGTGAAAGCAGCCGTCGGCAGTTCCACTGCACTGCTCAGTTCCTACACCGACGAGGGTCCGGATACAGTAACATGTTGTTGTATCCTTTCCACATCGCACCGTTGGCAGTGCAATGAGTTCATAGGCAGCTGCACGGTGCCGGCTTCTTGCACTTGATGTATGGCTCGAAGTTGCATGCTCCGGGGCACGCCAGCATGAGGCACTAGGTCACTAGATGAGCTGCTGTGCATGCACACGGATGTGGACAGTCTCATTAGCGGCTCAGTCGATGTTGATCTCAGGAGGACCAATACAGTTTTCTATTAGCAGGACCGCCTCTATAACTTCCGACTACACATGGACCGCCATCATCTGCGCATGCCGTTGACGAGGCGACTGCAAGTAATGGCGATTTCGGGCCTAGCGGCCGCGAATCAGTAGCAAAGCCTGAAAGGTCTGTGAGGGCTACGTTTTGTTTTGTCGAGGCCCTGGAGTTTGATAGGGGCGAGCCGTGGCAGCGAGTCTCGGACGCACCCTTGAAGCTGGTTCAAGACTCGCGGGGTCAGGGCTCAAGACAAAAGCAACTCCTTCCTGACAAGACTGGAAACATGCTCGACTCCGAAGCCACTGTTAGGTATTGATTTCAAGGCAGGGGTTTGAGATTTGAAATGCGCAGTGCTACAGTGGGGCAGTGAGCACTTCCCGAGTCTCTGTTGAAACAACTTGGAAACCTCTTCTATTTTCAGATTTTGATCTGTGGCTTCAGGGTACAAGAACGACCCGGGGATCGCTTCCTTCTGTAGCTTTGTGCGGCTCACCGTTCGTCCCTCCCCTCCTACAAGTCTTACCGGGTTCGTAAACCGGAAGCCTCCGAAGGAGCAGAATGCGTCGACCCGCCTGGCATTCCTCGTGGTCGACCGCGCTCGGATGTTGCGCCGATCAGGCACGGGCAAAAGCAGCAATTGCAACCCTTAAGCAGGTTCGGAATAAGCCTGGGGCTCACATCCTGTTTTCTGCAGGGTTTGTGGGACAATTTGGTGCAGCGGGTATGTGTGACGATGTATACTGACGCATCGAGAGTTCTGGGATAGACGTGCGAGGCCTACTCTGCTTGGCAGCGCCGCTAGTGGCGTCCAAGCTGGTGCAAGCTGCTGGCTCTTTCGGATCCTTCAAAGACGTGTCCAAGCCAGCGACTTGGCTTAGCGAGCGCCAAGGCCCCCTTTGCCACTGGAGCCACAATGACAAGATGACAAGACAAGTGGCCCGATGCGGTGCGGCTTGAAACTGCTGTGCAGGTGTGAAGCAGGAGAGGCGGCCACCAGACCATGCGACCCTGCCATCATACGACCCACCGACATCAGAACCATCATCAGGCTCCTCGTGGTCCTCCTCACCCTCCTCCTCCTCCTCGTCATCATCTTCTTCATGATCATCATCATCGTCATCATCCTCCTCCTCCTCCTCCCCTCCCCCTCCTCCTCATCATCATGATCCGCACGATCACGACCATGAGATCGCCATCGCCATCACCGCCGCCAGCACCAGCACCAGCACCACCATCAGCAGTCGCACCAGCACACGCACCAGCACACACAGCAGCACAATCCTCCTCCTCATCATCGTCATCATCATCTTCGTGATCAGCAGCCTCCTCGTCCACCTCCTCTTCCTCCGCGCCGGCGCCGTGGTCATGTCATTCTCCCCATGATCCTGATGATGATGAGGATGATGATGATGATCATCATCATCATGTATCATCACCATCATCATCACCACCATCATCAGCGCCATCATCTTCATCATCGTCATCATCATCATCATCATCATCACCATCATAATCACCATCATGCCGCATTTCCTTCTGATCGCAGCATGATCAAGACCGCTCTACGTCAGTGCCAAAACCTAAGCCGTTAAAAGAAACAGTTCCTGCACCCACTCAGACAGCACCCGCCCAGGCCGCTGCTCAAAGCGTCGTTGCTTTCCGTGGAAATTGTTATGATGTCATCTATGACGTGACTGCGTCCCACATGGCAACGTTTGCAGTTTGGTTGTTAAGTTGAGGGTTTCCGACCAAGATCCGTCCGAGCCTGCAGCTCAGGAGAAGGGTGGACCGCAAGATCTCGGTCGCCTCGTCGTATGCCCCTATGGCTCGCCAGCGACAGGTGCCCAGACTTGTCATGTGTGTTGGGACTTGCGTGGATCGTTGATATGATTCGTTCCGGGATTGACTCGAAGTTTGGCTCTCGGAGAACTCGCATGATGTCCACTCGCAAGCAAAGCAGATACCCATAACTTTCGCCTAAACTGGCGTCCCCGACCTCCAACCAAGCACCCTGGCAGTGGCGGCAAGCTCCCAGGTGACGTCGCTGAGTGCTTGGATCAGGTGAACCGAATAGCTGCCGAGCGAATCAAGAAGGACGGCTTCGTTCGGGACACAGGGGCTGCGTGCAAAAGGTGGAAAGGTTGGTAACTGATAGACTGCCTGGTCCCCCGTCCAAGCTGTTCCCAGGACATCGTGGTCCTGTTGGATTTCACCGATTTCGTGCGACTCGGCAGGAAGACCCAAACAGCTGCAGGCTTTTAAATCTTAGTTTTGCAGGCGAGACCCAAGCTGGCAAGTTGGGTCCGCTCAGCTCAGAGTCGAGGTGGCCTTCGCCGATGATGGCATACCGCTGCTTCTTTCCGATCATTCGGGAGCGATTGCCGGCGGAGGACGGCTGTTGCTATATACTTCAGTTGACTCCTTCCTTTCTCAACAGTAGACAGTAGATTCGGAAAATCTAGGCAGTCGAAAAAGACGAATCGACGAAAGCTCTCTGGCAACAAATGACACATGAATGGTAAATGGCTCAGATAGGCACGCGCAGGGAAGTTACTCTTGCCGGCTGCTCAAACGCGGAGGGAGACTCACAGCAAGAGAACGCTTTCCAGCGATTCAGCATTGCGCCCAAATCTGTATGCAGCAAGCCCCCCGGAGGCATACCATAGCAACAGTCCTTTCAGAGAAGTGCTTTAGGAGGACTGCAGAATGCAGGAGCTCCGAGAGAAGACCCAGGCCTTTGCAATCGTGCAGCAGGAGCGCTTCTGGATTCGTCCTGTGGAAGCTCGGCCGTGTCGGATCATGATCAGAACACAGACCTCGATAAGCCTACTCAGGAAACAAAAGGTACAGAAGATCAATTTCGAAAGTCTCGGTCAGAGCACCCATAAGCCCATCTTGGTGTTCATCAGTCTGTGCTGGCAGCGATGCAAAGCCAAGTGCAAAAAAAGCCAAGTGCAAAACATGTGCGTTCCTACACCATCAAGAGACAGTGAAGCACCTGAGGGTGCGGTGGTTGTGACATCTTGAGCCCGAAAACAGCAGCATCATAGGCTGCAGATGGCTGCAGGAGCCAAACCGAAGCCTTCAGCTCGTAGTCATGACGGACTAGAAGCACAGCAGCTAAGGTGGATGCTGTGCTCCTCATGGCGCAGCCAGAGACAGCTCCAATCTTTGCTCAGGCCCGCATCCCCTGTGGTTTGTGCGAGTTGAGCTTTCCGTTCTGGGCAGCTGGCTCTTGGTTGCTCCTTGATGCTCGAAGGGATTCTGCATACCTTAAGCTTCAGCCCCTCTATTCCCTTGCATCACACATTCTTGTCCGGACGTGAGAGCGCAGGACCGCCACGAGGCCTCCGATCTCATCTCAAAGCGCTTTGAGAGCCACGCTGCAGGGTAGGGGTATAATTAAGGAAGGACCGTACCCGGATTCTTCCCTCTGCACGTTCTGTCCTTTTTGGAACCCCTTTCGGGCCCGGAAGGGAAGCCGGGAGAAACCCTGGCCCTTAAAATCGATCCCCTTCGATTTTGTAAGCTGCGAATTTATTCCAATCTTGCCTGCGCGTGAGGGTTGCTGCAAGGGGGTCCGTACATCACAACTGAAGTCTCCGTACATCTGAGGGAACCATAACATGGAGCAACCCCCGACCTGTGTACAGACTGCGCGTGGCGAACTTGGAGCCAACAGAGCGTGCAAATCGGCGGTACCCGTCTCGTTGTCTTCAAGTCTTCCGCTTTTGTCGGTTGTCGGGGTCACGCAGGAAGTGTTCGAGGTCTTCTGGCGATCGTGACCTCACACGCGTCCCGACATCATCTTCCAGAAGCGCCGGGCATGCATGGCGCATTGGTTTTAGCCAAGCGTTGATGCCTCTGTCAGGGGCTGGAGTGCTGCAGCCCTCGTTACCAAAAAGGGGACATGAGCTTACTGTTCTGGATTGGTTGGCATGGCAGTGATAAGCTCTACATCTTGGAAAGCTTGGCGAATCGTTTGTGTTCCTCTCTTGCCGTTCAGGGACAAGTCGGTCCGGTTGCTTGGTGCAGTGGCCGAATCTACTTAAATCAACTACAGTGCCTTTCCAAAAACCTTGGATTGTTCCTGACTTGTTGGGTGCCAGAGCGGTGTGCCCTACTCATGACCAAGTCTGATGGCCCAGTGATGGCGATCCTGAGCCCCAAACACGTGCACCGCATTTCTTTTCGGGGGCCACTCCATGCTGGGAAGTCCCGCGCCACCATGTCGATAGGGTTTTATTTCATGGATCTGCTGCGTAAATCAGTTGTTCGATGTTGTTCGCCATGTCAAGCTCGCGCTGCAGGAGCCAGTCCAGCCAATGGCCGTGTATGCAGTGTGATATCGTTGGTGCAGAAAGCTCGCAATGGGAAAGCAGCCATTGGCTCAAACCTGCGGCCTGAAGATTTTCTGCCAAGGCGGGAAGGAGAGAGGCTGCGGCTGTGGTTCGAGCATGTTCACCCCTGTCGCTGAGATGCCCATCACCGCAGAGCAGTTCGCGACCACTCTGGAGAACATGACACGAGCTTGGGAGGCCTGTGGGGCGGATGCAGCGTTTCTGCATCGGGTTCAGATTTGGCGCTAGCACTTGTGACCTCCACGGTTTCCACTAGACAGGTGCAGAGATTCCGTGAGAACATTGCAGAATGCAAGAGGTTCTATGTGGGATGTGTGGGTGTGAGTGTACCTTTGCGGAGAGGGCACAGTCTGGATGGAAGAACGCGCTCGTTTCGATACCTGCGTTTCAGTTGCATTTGGCATGGCATGGGAAGTGTGTGTGTCTGTGCAGCCTGACCCCTGTCAAGAAGTAGCACATGAAGAGATGTGTCAGATTCTTGACGAGCAGAATTACCGGAATCCTTGACCAATCCCAAATCACGGGCCCAAATACAATGTTGCCCTAACCTTTGCCTATATTTCCTCAGGCGGAGAACTCCATTCCAAGAGTGTCGGAAAAAGGAGTCATCCCAGGATAGAACCTTTCGATCGTCATTTCCTCGGGCTGCGGAGTGTCGAGGCTTTGCCGGAAGAGCAGCGGCTCCCGAAGGACGAAGAGAAGTCCTTCTTCGACGATTGCCAGCAGACGTACCACGACATGACCAGATTCCCCAGCATCCCCAGCTCAGTGACGGTCTTGTTTTCGGGATCCGAGGTGCGAGGAAATGATCGCCAGATGGCATTCCGGAGAATCTTCCCATCCAGACCGAGAGATTCTCGCGGCGGAGTGCGCGGCGGGCGCCCCGGGGTCTTCTGGGGCCGAAACTGCAAACGCAACAGGTACCCGGACTCGGAGGCTGGAAAGCGGAAGCTTCAGCTGGACTTGTTCAGCCCCGACGTGAAGGACGATCCCTTCGTGGGGTGCCAAGTATACGGGGGGATTCGAGTCAGAGCCTCTTAGACCTCTCGAGACGTGGAGGTCCAGGCAGCCGATCTGAAGCTGCGGCTAATCAAGCCCGGGGCCCAGCTCTCGCGGGGCCTCAGCCCCTTCAAAGTTCTTCAAAGTTCGCGGTCGCAGGTACACCGCACCTCCCAGACAGAAGAACATCTGAGCAAAGGCAGTAAGTTAGTCCGCTGCGGTGGCCCGGCGGCATGAGAGTCCTAGGCACACTGGAAGCCGCCTCAGCCAAACGCGCGGGTGTTCGAGTCTCACAAGCCACACGTTTATGATGAAGGGGTCCTCGGGTCCTTCATGCTCACAGGCAGAAGCTGCACCCAATCTGGGTGGCCGCGGAAGTGCCGAAGACTGCATTCGCGCCTCTGAGTAAAAGCACCTCCGATCTTAAGCCGTTGAGCTGCAGACTAGCATGGGCCTGCCTTCCAGTCACGTGAAACTTTCTATCCCTGGACCAGACAGACTTTGGAGTTGTTCTCCACGCAGTCTTGGTTGTAATGTGGAATAGGACAATGCCCGAAAGTATAGGGCAACGTGGCCGGCGGCGAGGACGTAGTATCCAGGCCGCACGTACTCGAACGTTTACTGGAGAATCCTCGAAGGCCAACACCTCCTTCGGCAGGTCCGTTCGCAGTTGCGTGTGTTCTCCTGGTATTAATCGGGTTCCTTTCTCGACGCTAGCGTGCAGCCTGGCTTCTCCGGCGGCCGCCAACTGCACGTCCCAGGTTTGCCGCGATTTGGACGACCATTCCTGCCATGTGCGCGGTGCTCGGGTTGGGACGACTTCCCAGCGCAACTGAAACTCGCACGGCGACAAATGCCAACATGCACTGTTACGTGGTCGACGAGCAAAGAATTCCGCGTGATCTCTCTCCGCGACTTGGCGCTGCCATGCGCTGCCTCGGCACATGCACACTCGGTCCCAACGCTGTCGCAGTAATACGCCGCGGTCTGTCCGTCGTGCCTGTCATGCTGGTTTCAGCGTAGCGCAAGTAGTCGTGGCCAGGAAAGCTTACGAACTGCGTGGTGCAGATTCTTTCTGCACACGTGGCATCGGTCTGCTGAAAAAACGCGCGCAAGTTCGTACCTTCCGCCTGCCCGCGCACGACACCTTTGCAGTAAGCATCAGACATAAAACGTGTCATGTGTCGCTTGCCTTGGTAATTCAGGCCACGTGCCTGCGTCTGGGCAGCCAAGCGCTCGTGTCCTTGCTGCAGCTCTCGCAACTCTCCAAACGCCATCGGCTGCGTTTTAGCACAGTAGTCGCAACAGTAACCCGTTTGCGCATCCTGGGGGCACGTTGTGCGCTAGCGATGACGAGCCGCAGTTGGTCGAGCCGCAGTTGGCTTCGTTCCAGCGGGTCTGCACAAACTGTGCAAGTATAGGGTAGACGGTACGGCAATTGCACGTCGCAGTTCGATCGCACGAAGGCAAGAACTGCAGGATGTGTACCATTCAAGTAGCCGTTGTCACGAGGCCCGTGCAGAGAGCACAAGGCGTTGCGTCGTCCTGAGGCCAAGAACACATGACGGCGGACTCATCGGTGATTTCGTTTGTCTTGGGGTAGTTGTGTTTGCACACCTTGGGATTCTCCGCTTTGAGGCAGCCCGACTGCGGTTTTCTTTCTCCATGGTGTTGCTTGAGTACCTGCAAACGGAAGACGTCCTCTCGTCGACCCACGAATAGGGGCTTCCGTACGACTGGCGCGCGCACGGCTTCCTGATCCGCATCGTCGCCCGCCCACGGAGTACGCGCCGCTGACTTGAGTCATCGGTTTCCAGGCCGCGGAGCCCTGGCTGTTTCCGAGTTATTGTGCCTGCCGGCGAGCCAACTACCTTTTGCGTGTTCTGCCGCCGGCTGCGACTTCCCGCTTCGCCGAGGCGCACACTCTCTTGGGCTTTGCGGATGCCCCGCCGCCTCCCGCTGCCGTACGTGCCACCCAACTGCATGCCCTTGGAGTATGGTGGCCTCGGCTTGCATCACGCTGTAGCATGCAGCTCACTGGGCCTCCTGGTATGACACCCTCCCTGTCATCCGCGACCGGGCGCCCGAGGCCACGGCACGTTTCCTTGCTCTCCTCCAAGAGCCTCATGCAGGAAGGGTCCCTTCCGTTGCTGTCGCTGCACAGGCCACCGCCCACCTTGCAGCACAGGGTTTCCATACCCCGATGGCACGAAGCCTTCTTAAGCTTCCCCAGTCACGTCCGCCAGAGGCGAGGAACCAACGGGTCCTGCGGCCAGCTCTGCGCGAGCTCCTTGCCGACGCTCGCTGGCAG